CCACAGGGTGTCCCTTCTCTATATCATTTCTAGATAAGGGTAAGTTATTTAGAACACACATTTAGCTAAAGCTCAGACAATCCCTTTAGTATGATCTTTGGGCAACCTCAAAAGAAATACAGGCTGCTCTGGAAAAAGACAGCATGGTTGTTTTGAAGGAGCACAATATGAACAAAAATGAGCTGCATGGTGGAGGTGCCAGAAAGAAGCTTTTACTGCATCAATAACACAAAAAGGCCCGGTTAGGCATTTCAACGTGTTGTCAGGCATATTGTAACCGGGCTTTTTTGTGGCATTGGTGCAGTAAAAGCTTCTTTCTGGCACCTCAACCAAACAGCTCATTTTTGTTCAAGTGTAACCGTATTGTACTCCTAAAAAACAACCACACCATCTTTTTCTAGAGCAGCCTGTATTTCTTTTGAGGTTGCTTGTGGGTTTTTCTTTGAATCCCGGACAATTCTTCTGTCAGTTATGGCTGCAATCTTTCTTGGTCTACCTGACCTTAGCTTGGTATTAAGAGATCCCCAAAACTTTCCACTTCTTAATAGGTAATTTAACAGTACTGATTGGCATATTCAAGGCTTTGGACATCTTTTTATGTCCTTTTCCATCTCTATAAAGTTCCATTACTTTGTTACGCAGGACATTTGACTGTTCTTTTCTGATCCCCATGGCTCCATATCTAGCCTAGTCAGTGCTTCCATGTAAGAGCTAACAAACTCATTGACTAGTTATACACTGAATTTCTGTTTACTGTATACCCCTTACTTATTCAAGTACGATGTGGATATCTTGGGAAACCCTTATTATACAGACAGCTTCCAGATTCTGATGAGTCTCCCCAGCAGATCCCCCACTACCCCTGGGTCAGGGATGTGAGATTGAGGTCTTTGTCCCGTTCAACATGGGGACATGGTGCCTTTCCAGGGGCAGCCTCTATAAAAAGGTACCCTCCTCATGTTGAGGACATGTGGCTAGGTATTGTTTGGGGATGCGCACATCTACTGACACCCCTTTCCTAGCCAGCTAGGCTGCATTCCTGAATAAGGCTTTTGCAATTGTAATTATAATTACATTATTATCCTTATTTTTATTATTGTTTTTATATATCTTGTTAGATAATGTTCAAATCCTGTTTTTAACTATTCTTCAATATGCTATACACCCCCACTCAGTCCTTACAAACATAGTTCTGTTTTTTTGCCTCAATTTTATTTCTCTTTGGTTTTTTATTTCTTGCTTTCCCAGTTTCCTATTGTTTCACACCAAACAGTCCACTCCGTATTTACACCCACCTTGGTCTTTGAGAGGCATGTTCCTTCCTTCCTACTGACCGCCCCTTTTCCCACCTCTTTACCCTGTTAACTGGCTCTCCCTAAGCCTGGACATCGGTCTTGAAGAAGAGCTCTGCTTATGCTCCAAAACGCATCACCCCTCCATGCTCACATCACTTCGGTCCGCAGACAGCGTGCGCCCCAGCGGTCCGAACAGGGCGGCAGCCATCTTTAACAACTCTCCTCAAGCTCCCCCTGCAGCTGCTGGCTGGCACAACGGCTCCATCGCTTAGAGGACAGAACCCTGCTATTGACGGATTACATTAGAGCCTGTTTTTACTAACACGTTGTAAGTATTTTTAACCACAGAGTTTGTCTCCACTCTTTAGAAGTGCGGCTCAGTACCAGTTTCCCTACACACCATCCATCATCAGCAGCCATACTTCCATAGCATCGTCTACTGACGCGCCCTACTACCCACCTCCCTCTATGTAGCCAAGATGTGGAAAAGTCTCACACATGTGGTATCACTATACTCAGGAGGATTATCAGAATGTGTTTTGGGCTGCGAGTATGCATATGCCGTATGTGGGAAATAACTTGTTGATATGACAATTGTGTGAAAAAAAATTTTCTTCATTTTCCAAAGATTTGTGGGAAAAAAATTACAACTTCAGAAAACTCACCATTCCTCATACTAAATACCTTGGACCGTATACAAAAAAAGGGTAATTTGGGGGGTATTTATACTTTCCTGGCATGTTAGGGCCTCAAAAAAATTAGACATCAAATGCGATCAGGTGTCAATTTTAATGATTGGTTTTGTACTCTCTATAAAGTTTCACACAGACTAAATAATATACACTTATTTGAATTATTTTTACCAAAGAAATGTAGCAGTATAAATTTTGGCCTAACTTTTTGCAAAATATTATAACAAACTAAGAAAAACAAATGTTCGGTATTGTTCACTTACTGTATATCTCAAAAAATAAAAAACTCAGTGGTGATTAAATACCACCAAAAGAATCAATTTGTGTGAAAAAAATAAAAATGATGTTTGGGTACAGAGCAGCATGACTGAGTAATTGTCAAAGTGTGAGAGCACTGAAAGCTGAAAATTGGCCTGGGCAAAAAGGGTGTAATGCAGGCCATAGATGGGTTGAAAATCGGCCGATTTTTCGGCCGAAAATAAAATCGGCCGATTTTCGGATCGTTAGTGGAATAATAGGTCGGACGTTTTTCAGTTTTTGGCAGATTTTTTTTTATCGGTAAAGTTGGAAAAAGATCGGCCGATTTTGCAGATCGACCGATTTTTGTGGCAATTATGGGCAAATCGGCCGATCTTTTTACCGATAAAAAAGCTGTGCATGAGCAGTGACCTGCAAGAGGAAGACAAAAAGAAGAAAGAAGAAAGAAGAAGAGGATGAAGAAGAAGAAGAAGAGGATGATGAAGAAGAAGAGGATAAGAAGAAGAAGAAGAAGAAGAGAAGAGGATGAAGAAGAGGAAGAGGAAGAAGAAGAGGAAGAGGAGAAGAGGAAGAAGAAGAGGAAGAGGATGAAGAAGAAGATGAAGAAGAAGAAGAAGAGGAAGAAGAAGAGGAAGAAGAGAAGAGAAGAAGAAGAGAAGAGGATGAAGAAGAGGATGAAGAAGAAGAAGAAGAAGAAGAAGAAGAAGAGGAAGAGGATGAAGAAGAAGAGAAGAAGAAGAAGAAGAAGAAGAAGAGGATGAAGAAGAAGATGAAGAAGAGGAAGAGGAAGAAGAAGAAAAAGAGGATGAAGAAGAGAGGATGAAGAAGAAGAGGAGTAAGAAGAGGAAGAGGATGAAGAAGCAGAGGATGAAGAAGCGGAGGATGAAGAAGAGAGAGAAGAAGAAGATGATGAAGAAGAGGATGAAGAAGAGGATGATGAAGAAAGGAAGAGGAGAAGAAGGAAGAAGAGAGGATGAAGAAGAAGAAGGGGATGATGAAGAAGAAGGGATGAAGAAGAATAAGGGGATGAAGAAGAATAAGGGGATGAAGAAGAAGAAGAAGAAGGATGAAGAAGAAGAAGATGAAGAAGAAGAAGAGGATGAAGAAGAAGAGGATGAAGAAGAAGAAGAAGAGGATGAAGAAGAAGAGGAGAAGAAGAAGAAGAGGATGAAGAAGAAGAATTCCAGTCCGGCAAAAAGTGTCCCTGCAGAGAGGTCCGCTATTTCTTTGACAGTTCCTTGACATTTATAGCGGCTGCAACAATGTATCTGTTTCCGAATAAAAACATCTGTATCCGAAATGGATACAAATAGATACAATGTTGCAGCCGCTATAAATGTCAAAGAACTGTCAAAGAAATAGTGGAGCTCTCTGTAGGGACACTTTTTGCCGGCTGTAGACGGGATGAAAATCGTTCGATTTTTTTTACCGTTCCTGGTAATGTCGGCCGATTGAACGACCGATTTTTCGTTTTTTTAAAGAAAAATTGGCCGGTTTTCTCCCCATCTATAGCCTGCATTAATGTGCCTTGTATTGAAGTAGTTAAAAAATCTACAGCAATTACCCATACAATGTATTTGGTTATATTATAGATTACAATAATTTATGAAATATTTGATAGCTTGGACCATCTAGTTCTCATTTGTATTAAATAATATGATTGTGCATTAACATTGCCACACTCTCTCTTTGTGAGTTGACAAGACAAGGCAATTACAATTCACCCTTTAAATGAATGCTGAATTTTTGTTTCAATTGATGTTCAGAGAAAACATAAAATTCTATTTCTCAACCTGGAACCAGAAATTAAAATGGCATCATTTTTTAACACATTGAAAAAAATGGATGTGTGAGGATAGAAAATGATAAAAGAGGACTGATTACTTTAGACATCGCAAGTGTGAGTTAAAGCCTTATAAATTTTAATGGGAATATTTGGTTTCACGGAAGTATCTCCTAAGAGTGTGACAAGGTTTCTAGAGAAAAATAAGATAGTACTTTAAACTGAAAATGTAGTCCTGGAAAAAAAGGTTTAGCCCTTTAACTTGATTCAAATCTTTTTACATCGTGCATACAGCAAAAATGATTTATTCTATATCTGCAGAAGGTTACAGTCATTCACTTTTAAAACCTATTTAGTGTATCTGGTAGCTTTCTATGAATACTTTTAAGATGTTGCACAATATCTCATCAAGAATCTGAAACATATCATAAGATCTTATTTTCTAAAGTATAAAAAGGGTAAATGAAAAAATGTAAATGGTTTAAAAAATATGAAAAAAAAACAAATTATTGCACCAAACCACAAATGTTCAAAAAAATACATCAAGTACTTGCACTGCATATTTTCATACCATCTGGCTGATGTGTAATCAGTTCCTTGGTATTAAATTACTTGAAATTTGACTGAAAATTTCAGGCTATTTATTTTTTTTTTTTTCATTTAAAACTGCATATGTTTTGACAGAATATACATGCAATCCTATGTTCTTGACCAGTGGTCGCCATATGTGGCCCCTTGCTAGCCTTTATCTGGCCCTTGGGGCACTATTCCTGCAACAGTGGGGAATAATTCCTGACACCAATGATGGGGCACTATTCTTCCCACTGACACCAATGATGGGGCACTATGCCTCCCACTGACAACAACGATGGGGCACTATGCCTCCCACCGACATCAATGATAGGGCACTATGCCTCCCTCTTACTCCAATCATCGGCAACTATTCCTCCCACTGATAGCAATGATGGGACACTATTCCTCCCACTGACACCAATGATGGGGCACTATTCCTCCCACTGATACCAATGATGGGGCACTATTCCTGCCACTGATACCAATGATGGGACACTATTCCACCCACTGACACCAATGATGGGACACTATTCCTCCCACTGACACCAATGATGGGGCACTATTCCTCCCACTGATAGCAATGATGGGACACTATTCCTCCCACTGATACCAATGATGGGGCACTATTCCTGCCACTGATACCAATGATGGGACACTATTCCACCCACTGACACCAATGATGGGACACTATTCCTCCCACTGACACCAATGATGGGGCACTATTCCTCCCACTGATAGCAATGATGGGACACTATTCCTCCCACTGACACCAATGATGAGGCACTATTCCGCCCACTGACATCAATGATGGGACACTATTCCACCCACTGACACCAATGATGGGGCACTATTCCTCCCACTGACACCAATCATGGGGCAGTATTTCTCCGACTGACACCAATCATGGGGCAGTATTCCTCCCACTGACACCAATTATGGCACACTAGTCCTCTTACCGACTCCAATTATGTGTCACTAGTCCTCTCACTGACTCTAATCATTGGGTACTATTCCTCCCACTGACTCCAGTCATTGGGCACTATTCCTTCCACTGACTCCAGTCATTGGGCACTATTCCTTCCACTGACTCCAATCACCGGGCACTATTCCTCTCACTGACACCAGTGATAGGGCACTATTCCTCCCACTGACTCCAATCATTAGGCATTATTCCTCCCAATGATTTGAAGCACCATTCCTCCCATTGACACCAACAATGGGGCACTATTTCTCTTCCACTGATACAATACCAATGATGGGGCACTACGCCTCCTCCTACTGACCACCAACCCTGAGGCCATGTTTGTTCTCACTGATGTTTGGCATGGGACATTTTCTACCCCCACTGGCCTTAATCTGACCACCCTAAGGTGTGAAGGACATTAAACTGGCCCTTTGTTTGAAACGTTTGGAGACCCCTGTTCTTGATCAACAATTTCACATTTCCTGCATGCCCTCAACTAGAGCACTTTATTGCTGTAAAAATGTCTATTTTCTGCATTATTTTTTGTTGAATATGCAACCTTCCAAGAACAGTACTAACATTTGTTTATAGTTGAGTGTCTTACTTTAAATATGACAGTTATAGAATGACCTTCTATAAGAGAAAGCAGTCATTACTTCAAATATAAATCCAAAAAAATTATTTTTTAAAGGACAGTCAGTAGAGCCATTCCTTGGTTCTCCAGTACCCATCCTGGTGTCCAGAAAACAAACCTGAAACAACTGCATTCAAGTTCTAAAAAATGGTTTCGTAATTTTAGTTCTTTTGTCATTTATAATAGCAATTCTGGAAGCATAATTGGCCACTGGGGCATAAAGGAATAGTTTACCTGGTTCTTCAAAAATTGAATAACCCCCTTTGTCTTAAGACTTTTGATGGACGTGGTGACATGCAGATACATAATGTTTAAAAGGCATTGATGTTTGTTACAAGCTATAAAGCTTTTTGTTTACTTTTGGTCTTCTCACTACAACCTAAAACCTTTCAAATATATATGGGGAAAAGAGAATGTCACGGACCATGTATCACTAAAGCTAAGTTTACATTGCAGCAGTTTTCATAAAAGCAATCTGTGGTGGATCACTTTTCAGAAGACAATCAGTGGCTTTCATGTGTTTATGAGGTGTTCCTGCCTACATCAATCAAAACTGTTCCAGGTGATTAGAGTCTGGCTCCAACTGACCACAATAGGTGAAGGTGCACGCACAGCTGGTCTGCAGCAACACAGGGAAAGAGAAAGTCCAGAATCCCCTGCACTTCTTCCACTTTATTGATGCTTTCATAAAAAATATCACGTACAGTGTCGGGAACAAAGAAAAGTTAACGCATTTCACGCTTAGAACTAGTGTTTACTCATAATCTCACATACATGACAGAATACACAACATATATACACTCCATAAGATTATGAGACCACCCTCACCTGGTCACAAAACTCTTCTGCACCATGGGAAACAGAGTTCCCCAATTGACCAGGTGGTGTTGCTCCCGTTGCCCTTATATAACATGATCATATTGTGCAACATCGGCTTATTCAAAAAACAAATACCATATTTTCCGGCGTATAAGGCGACTGGGTGTATAAGACGACCCCCTAATTTTCCAGTTAAAACAGAGGTTTTGGGCTATACTCGCCGTATAAGACCACCCCCCTTCCGAGGCAACACCATTTAAAAACATCAGATTTTTTAATTGAAATGGTTATGACTTACCGGTACTTAAAATCCTTCAAAATCCTCATGTTCATCCTCTGACATCATAAGTTCATGAATGACATCTTGTGATACGTTTGTAAGACATCATATGGATCAAATTCCAAATCAGATGGTTACCGCTGGATGTGCGGTAATACGGTAGCTTCGGCTACATACAGTATACGGTATATATACAGCCCGCTGGATGTGCGGTAATACGGCAGCTTCGGCTACATACGGTATACAGTATATATACAGCCCGCTGGATGTGCGGTAATACGGCAGCTTCGGCTACATACAGTATACAGTATATATACAGCCCGCTGGATGTGCGGTAATACGGTAGCTTCGGCTACATACAGTATACAGTATATATACAGCCCGCTGGATGTGCGGTAATACGGTAGCTTCGGCTACATACAGTGTACAGTATATATACAGCCCGCTGGATGTGCGGTAATACGGCAGCTTCGGCTACATACAGTATACAGTATATATACAGCCCGCTGGATGTGCGGTAATACGGCAGCTTCGGCTACATACAGTATACAGTATATATACAGCCCGCTGGATGTGCGGTAATACGGCAGCTTCGGCTACATACAGTATACAGTATATATACAGCCCGCTGGATGTGCGGTAATACGGCAGCTTCGGCTACATACATATACAGTATATATACAGCCCGCTGGATGTGCGGTAATACGGCAGCTTCGGCTACATACAGTATACAGTATATATACAGCCCGCTGGATGTGCGGTAATACGGCAGCTTCGGCTACATACAGTATACAGTATATATACAGCCCGCTGGATGTGCGGTAATACGGCAGCTTGCTACATACAGTATACAGTATATACAGCCCGCTGGATGTGCAGTAATGTACATACAGTATACCGCGCTGAGCCAAGCTGGCTCAAAACAAATGTCCCTATGAGAGATTAATCTGTCAGCCCGCTGGATGTGCGGTATATACAGTATACTGAGCCAAGCGGTTTCAAAACGTACCGGTACATCCCTACTGTAATTAGCCCCCTGGATGTGTGTATGTACGGTAGCTGCGGCTACATACAGTATACAGTGGGCCAATCACGGCGAATGATGTATTCTACTAATGAATACAAAGCCTGCTCGGATTGGCTGAGGTTGTGACATCACCAGCCCACCTCTCTGACTCAGCCAATCCGAGCAGGCTTTGTATTCATTAGTAGAATACATCATTCGCCGTGATTGGCCCAGTGTATACTGTATGTAGCCGCAGCTACCGTACATACACACATCCAGGGGGCTAATTACAGTAGGGATGTACCGGTACGTTTTGAAACTGCTTGGCTCAGTATACTGTATATACCGCACATCCAGAGGGCTGACAGATTAATCTCTCATAGGGACATTTGTTTTGAGCCAGCTTGGCTCAGCACGGTATACTGTATGTACATTACTGCACATCCGGCCAGCTTGACCCAAACAAACTCAAGGTTCACATTTTATACCCCGCATATAAGACGACCCCCAATTTTTGGGGTATGTTTTTAAGTATAAAATGTAGTCTTATACGCCAGAAAATACTGTATGTATTAAAAAACCAAAAACAAAGGAAAACCTTCATGCATCCATGAATAGTACAATGCATATTGAAAAGACAAACTGGATAACTCAGCCAGTTTACTATAAACCCTCAAACCGAGATAAATCCAAATGGATGCATGGACCATAACCTCATGTAATAGAGGAAGATGAAATCAGCAGCAAATGCACTACAAGGGAACCAGAAACCTTCAATAGCATATATATTGAAAAAGTGCAGCGCTGTAAATTAAAATGTCGTATCCAAGAGTAATGCGATTATAAAACCATTAAATGATAGTGCAAAGAGTTCATATAGTGCAAAAAGCCATATATAAAGTGTAATTGTAAAGCGTAAATATATGTGACAATTTAATATATATATATAAATGAATATAAGTCCATGTGGGAGTAATATTCTGTCATCAATTGGTGATGTTAAGTGAAGATCCCGTGCTCAGGTGATCTGAAATACATTCCATGTGATAATTATTCTGTTCGGTGAAGTGTAAGGAATGTGGTAAAAATGCACACTCACCAGATGCGCATTTTAAATACGCAGTTTGTATAAATGATGTAATCTGCCAGAGGTCCCCTTTAAGGTGGAATGGGTGTGCAGTCCGGAAAGGATCTCCCTCCTCCGGCTCCGAAGCTGCTCTGCAGCTGTATTTCACATGGGACTCTGAAAATTAGCAGCTCAGTGTAGAGCCAAGAAAAAGGGTGCCCATAGTTTAGTATTTAAATGATTTATTTGCAGAAAAGCATATCATCCACGTGGAGAAAGATAAATAAAAACAGAGCTGTGGAGTAAACACACTGACCAGCCAAATTCTAAGATGGCCGCCGGACCTTTGTGAGGCTCCGGCAGCGTGATGTCACAGCCTACGGCTCCTCCTTGACGCGTTTCATGCCACGCACGTTTTCAAAAGGGGAGTGCCTGTAGTGTCGGACGTCTATCAATTGCCTTATATATAGCCTGCTCTGCACATGCGCATTGTCGGGCACCATTTTCTTGGAGACCCAGCATGCGCTTGCACGGGAGCCATTTTCCCGGAAATCATAAACAAATGGTTTCATTACTGAAGATCAGGATGTGCCAATCACAATACCGGTGCATAGGTTATTATAATGGATTTGTCTACATGAAGAAACTTGATTATGCAGCCCAAGTAAGTACAAATTGTTAGTTACTTTATACATCACGCTAAATATGGCTGTATTTGCAAACATACAGTACATAGGTGCAAACATGACATTGCTTATTATATTGAATGAAATATTAATAATTTTTCGCCGCTGTCCAGCATAGTGTAATAAGTTATAATAAATATAAAAAAGGCACTGCATTGTGATTGAGCTTAATGATCTGTTACCACATAAATTTTAGGTCAGCTGGTCAACAAAGATAAATTAAATTGAATAAAATGAAATCAATACTATACATCACATGCTAAAAATGACAAAACATATTCCAAAATTAAGTGATTCTTGAATAATAATCTAAAATAATTTTAAAAGCATATGCAACTAAAAATGATCAGAGATTTATATATAATGTCATAAATAAATATATGCCTCATTAGCTAAAAATTATAGAATACCTAATTAGCTAAAATTATAGAATACCCATAAAATGAGTCCGTATATATCGAAATTGTTGTGGACTAAGGAATGTGAACTTTTTTATGAAATTGGTCAAATAGACTCCCATAACTGTATATTTAAGACACTAGACGCACAGTCGGATTGGAATAGAATAGATATGAAATTCCATTAGACATGAATTGAGATGATATTTTCATATCTTATGTGTGAAAAAACCTATAGAAATTCAACCTAACTCTGTCATATACATAAACTCAACTATTGTCAATAAAACATATTTGAACCATAACCTGGTAAATCAAAACTCACTTTACAGTCCTTTAACGGTAAAATTTTTCAGATTTTTCTGTGCTGGTAAAGCGGTACCATTTTTTTGCATGGAAATATGTATTTCTTTTATATTTGTAGGCTGTAATTTTTAGGAAAAACTCACTGAAATCTGTCCGAACAAGAGTCTAGTACCAACATCCCAGGGTATGATAAAAATTTTGAAACACAAAATCAAATTATAATTTAATAAGATAATCATAAAAATAATGTAAAAATAATAAAAAATCTAATTCAAGAAATATAATCAAACCAAAAACACTGAAATGTGAAATAGAGCGCCAATTCGCTAACATTGCTGAGAACTCAGTCGCAAAATCGTTTTCAGTTTCTGAATGACGAATTTCCCCCACGAATCATTATCACTCAATTCTGAAAGTGTTCTGATTTACTATCGCTTCTAGCTGATCTAAAGGCCCGCTTTTGACCTTAAAGATCTGGACACTTTTTGGACGCCATGGACATTTTCTCACTTTCCAGGCAGAAAGAATAGACAAAATGCAGGCAGGGCGCAGGACAAAATCTACAAAATCTTAAAAATAGGTAAAAACAGCAATGTTTTACTGTGTAAAAAAAAAATATAAAAAAAAAAAAATGACATTTTTAAAATTTTTAAACCTTTAGCTAAAATTATAGAATACCCATAAAACGTCCGTATATATCACGAAATTGTTTGTGGACAGGAATGTGACATTAGAATTGGGTCAAATAGCCGGCACTGGAAGACATGGACGCCAGTCGCTGGCAGGGGACACATATGAAATTCCCATTAGCGACATGGATATTTTCATAAGTGAAGAAAAATGCCTAGAAATTCAGGGTAAGCCCGAGTGTAGCTCGGGTCATATACATACTCGCTATTGTATGAAATGTTTGAACCCCGAGCTAAATCAAAATCACCGTACAGGAGGTTAAAGCATGCCACATATGTATCAAAAATAAAAATGTCATAGCCTACAGACTCTCAAAATGTATCCACAAAATAAGCAAAGAACCTTTTTCCACCTACTGTGTGGGCTAGAATATATTACTGCCCACACTACAAGCAGAAGACCCCCCACCAGACAGATAATATTGCGCCACTAAAATCCTAGGATGAAGATTGCATTCACCAGTCAGATCTATACCATAATAATTCGAACATATGCATAAATTGTTGTGCGTATAAATTGTTTTGATCTTCAATCAACTCATACAGATCTTACAGGAAAAACAGATTTAAAAAATCAAGGGGAGTAGTTAAATTTGCTGTTTCCACCTGAATTCCGGGTTGGGCGGTGAATGAGGGAAGTATGGATGCTGCAGAATTTGTGGGATGCCAATCAGGATATGCAAGCACATCCGGGAGAACACTATGGGCCTTTGTTCAAATTCTTGGTGGCTGTGGGTCACTACTTGTGCTAGCCACTGCAACAGCTTGTACTGCATTTATGTGACTTGCCACGTCACCAAGTGATACTGCAGTGCTGGTATGAAAAAGACCAGGATGTACTAGGCCGCTGGTGCTCACCAGTGCACCAAAGGTAGAGAGGCACTAGTACTGGCACTTTACTTCATATGAGAATCATAATGAAATTGTAATACCTTAGCAGCCTGGAAACGGAGTTGGGTACTCCTGACCTCTACTCCATCGTCTGAGCTATCTGTCAGGGTGCCGCTGCTCTCTATGGGTTTGTATTCCGAGTCTGATTCTGTCAGTGAGGCTTCTCCTTCGCTCTCATCTGGCATGCTCAGAATCCTGTAGACCTCTTCACTAGAATACCTTTCGTTGGATATTTTGACCACTAAATGTATAGGTACCTAGTGCGACTCAAGGGAAAAAGAGCACTTGGCTGTCAGGGACTGCTTGAACCGCTGCAAAAAAAAAAAAAAAAAAAAAGTACCTTCCAGTGCTAGCAGAGATCAGGCCTGATCTTACTAACCCTGCAGTTTTGTGTGCAGTATATCAAGTGACAGTGATCTACGGACACTACACTTGCTGGGGGAAAAGGGGAGGTTAACCATTAGCCGCCCAGCCAATGGCCGTTTGGCGGCTTCAGATGTGCTCCTCCATTCCGGGTGCACGCCATTTGGCATGCTCCCGCACATGCGCCGTTTGCGCTAGTGCAGAGCGGCGCAGCAGTGCGATCTGTCAGCGGCCGTGCACCTCGGACACGGCCGATGACAGATCTGAGTACCGACTCCTGTTGCTGGTACCATGTGACCTGCTGTGAGCAATCACAGCAGGTCACATGACAGTTGTATACATGGATGGCTTCATTCATGATGCCATCCATTGTATACTAGTGCCTAGCTGTGAATGGTCACAGCTAATCACATGCACATGTCATGTGATTAGCTGTGACCAAATCACAGCTAAGCACAAAAAAAAAAAAAAAAAAAAAAGCTGAATGAATCGATTTCATTCAGGTAAATGCTTGCTTATAGCAAAGTAATTCTTTGCTATAAGCAAATTGTGTAAAAAAAAAAAAAAAAAAAAAAATACTGATCACTTCCCCAAAGTAGTACAATGTTACTATGGTAACATTGTACTATTTTGGTCATAGTAAAATATGAAAAAAAATCTTAAAAAAAAATAAAAAAAAATGTAATAAAAAAATTAAATATAATAAAAAAATAAAAAAAATTAAAAAAAATATTTTTTTTTTCTCATACTGTCACCAGTCAGTGTCCCTGTTCACCGCCATGCCAGTTATATGATGACGCTGTACTGCACTGGTGACAGTATGTAAAAAAAAAAATAGTGAAAATAATTTTTTTTCATTTTTTCATTTTCGGAAAAATTATGACAAAAAAAATACAACTTCAAAAAACTCGCTATGCCTCTTATGAAGTACGTCAGACTGTCTACTCTGCAAAAAGGGGTTATTTGGAGATATCTGTACCGTCCTGACATTTGGGGGATATCTGTACTGTTCTGACATTCTTGGACCTCAAGAAATTAGATTGGCCGTCAGTACTTCAGGATTGATCAATATTCAGATCTATACCATAGTTTGTGAACTCTATAACTTTCCTACAAACTAAATAATACATCCTAATTTGGGTTATTTTCACCAAAGACATGTAGCAGAATACATCTCGGCCTAAATTTATGAAGAACAATTATATATTTGTAAACTTTTATAACAGAAACAAAGAAAATGTGTTTTTTTTTTCAAAGTTTTTGGTCTTTTTTTGTTAATTTAGCAAAAAATAAAAACCCCAGCGGTGATTAAATACCACCAAAAGAAAGCTCTAGTTGTGTGAAGAAAATGATAACATTTTAGTTTGGGTACAATGTTGTATGACCGCGCAATTGTCATTCAAAGTGTGAGAGCGCTGAAACCTGAAAAATGGCCTGGGCAGGAAGGTGTAAAATCGCCCGGTATTGAAACGGTTAAGCATAGGAACTATTTGCAGGTGATGACAGGTGCCAGGGGTTAATGGGGGGCGATCAGGGGTTTAAATTAGACCCATCAGTGCTTTTACTGTCTCAGTGTAGTGCTTTGACTCACATGGATCTGCTTTCTTCTCTCTCTGAAATGGAATGTGCTCCAGGGAGAGAGGATTACATCATTCCCTGTGACTGTGTAATGTAAACACAGGCAGAAGAAGATCTGTAATATAGCAAAGATCACTCAGCATCACTGTCCTGAATCTGATGACTGATCAGTGCTGCACCAAATCACAGCCACACTGGGTTGGTGGGTGCACGTTCCCCCTACCTGTGAACACGATGGGAGCATGGATCTCATTTATATACGTGATTTTGCACAGGGAGTCTGCCCTGTAGCAGTAAACCTGCTATAGGGTGGAGGTAAACTGGCTAAAGGGAAATTTTCACTTATCTTTATAAATACAGTGAAACTTTGCTGACCTTAAAAATCCAATCAACTGCAAAAATGAATCCTGTTTTTTAATTTTCCTTGCACATTATAGGGTATTATTTTAAAAATTCATTTTCAAAACAGTTACTGAGCTAAGTAAAGATTCCTTTTCACAGTGAATATTCCCTTGTGAATATACTCTACACCTATGGAATCACTCACCTTATGTTTTGCCATATTTAGCTGCTTCTGCCTAACTTACCTATCTTTAATGTATCAATCACAAAATATTTACCGTATTTTTCGCTCCATAAGACGCACTTTTTTCCCCCCAAAAAAGGGGGGAAAATGTCAGTGCATCTTATGGAGCGAATATAAAGCGGCCGGTCCGGTATTTTTGCGGCCACCATGTCAGAATACCGGGCCGGCCGCTCAGCTGTTCTCTCCTGCAAGGCCTTACCTGTTCCTCGCTCCAGCGCTGCACAGTCTTCCCGCGCTGGCTTCTGTGACAGCCGGGTGCCCACTGCGCATGTGCCGCGCTTTGTGAATGATCCGGTGTCTTCTGGGACACATGACAGGTCCCAGAAGGCGCCGGGCCTCACAAAGCGCAGCGCTTCTCGCACATGCGCAGTGGGCACCCGGCTGTCACAGAAGCCGGCCCGGGAAGAAGAGGGAAGGACAACTCCGCGGGAGTGGTAGCGGGTACCTGTCAAATTCAGGTACCCGCTCCCCCTCCCTCCCCAAAGGTCAGTAGTCTCTGGTCATCCCCTTCACTGTCTGCAGTCTCTGGTCATTCCCTGCCTGTCTGCAGTCTCTGGTCGTTCCCTGCACTGTCTGCAGTCTCTGGTCGTTCCCTGCACTGTCTGCAGTCTCTGGTCGTTCCCTGCACTGTCTGCAGTCTCTGGTCGTTCCCTGCACTGTCTGCAGTCTCTGGTCTGGTTCCCCCTGTCTGCACTGTTCCCTGCAGTCTCTCTGGTCGTTCCCTGCACTGTCTGCAGTCTCTGGTCGTTCCCTGCACTGTCTGCAGTCTCTGGTCGTTCCCTGCACTGTCTGCAGTCTCTGGTCGTTCCCTGCACTGTCTGCAGTCTCTGGTCGTTCCCTGCACTGTCTGCAGTCTCTGGTCGTTCCCTGCACTGTCTGCAGTCTCTGGTCGTTCCCCCTGCACTGTCTGCAGTCTCTGGTCGTTCCCTGCACTGTCTGCAGTCTCTGGTCGTTCCCTGCACTGTCTGCAGTCTCTGGTCGTTCCCTGCACTGTCTGCAGTCTCTGGTCATTCCCTGTCACTGTCTGCAGTCTCTGTCATTCCCTTACACTGTCTGCAGTCTCTGGTCATTCCCTTCACTGTCTGCAGTCTCTGGTCGTTCCCTGCACTGTCTGCAGTCTCTGGTCATCTCCTGTACTGTCTGCAGTCTCTGCTCATTTCCCTGCACTGTCTGCAGTCTCTGCTCATTCCCTGTACTGTCCGCAGTCTCTAGTCATTCCCTGCACTGTCCGCAGTCTCTGGTCACCTCCTGTACTATGTCCGCAGTCTCTGGTCACCTCCTGTACTATGTCCGCAGTCTCTGGTCATCTTCTGTACTGTGTCCGCAGTCTCTGGTCACCTCCTGTACTATGTCCGCAGTCTCTGGTCATCTCTGTACTGTGTCCGCAGTCTCTGGTCATCCCTGTACTGTGTCTGCAGTCTCTGGTCATCCCCTGTACTGTGTCTGCAGTCTCTGGTCATCCCCTGTACTGTGTCTGCAGTCTCTGATCATCTCCTGTACTGTGTCTGCAGTCTCTGGTCATCCCCTGTACTGTGTCTGCAGTCTCTGGTCATCCCCTGTACTGTGTCTGCAGTCTCTGATCATCTCCTGTACTGTGTCTGCAGTCTCTGATCATCTCCTGTACTGTGTCTGCAGTCTCTGATCATCTCCTGTACTGTGTCTGCAGTCTCTGATCATCTCCTGTACTGTGTCTGCAGTCTCTGGTCATCCCCTGTACTGCGTCTGCAGTCCATTGGTTCAGAATATTTTTTTTTCTTGTTTTTCACCTCTAAAACCTAGGTGCGTCTTATGGAGCGAAAAATACGGTAATATGTTGTGAAGTTGTTTCTGAAAATGACAAAAGATTGTCAATGAAATTCAGGAATATGTAATAAAATAATCATTTGAAATCTGTCTCATGGTAGTGCAACAAATATCACAGCTTATAACAGATTTGTGTATGTGTTGGTAAGGTGTATATGAGCCTGTCACAATTCTGACAGAGCTGTCACAAATATTTCTCTTGTGGTGGACTTTCACAGTCAGAAAAGCTATTTGAAGTTTGGAGAGCAATGGAAGCCTAACAAATATTGTATCTATTTCAAAAGGAACTTAAAGAGAAATTTTAGGAATTACATAAATGTCTGGGGAACTTTCACCATTTGGAAGAGAACAGTATTCTTCATTAAGCCATGCTAAAAGAAGTTTACATGAAATTGTCTATGGTAAGGAAATATAAAAAAGGAAACCATCTGAAACACTGAAAGAACCTTTTTCGAGACAATAAAAAAATTGTCAGGAAATAGAAGCATTCTGTTAAAGTAAGGAATGCCAGTTTGATACTAGAAATGAAAAAAGAAAAAAGGCAGCGGCTTTTCAGAATGTGAGCTAGCCATTCTTATCGAGCATATAAGTGTCCAATATATATATATATATATATATATATATATATATATATATATATCGCCATTTTTATAATAATGCCTAAAACGTTTTCACCACAGTATATCTTAACTTGCCATGTGAAACTGAGATTATTTTTTAAACACTTTATTTGAACAATAATATATTTAGCAGTTATGTGCTGTAGCTGCGATCCAATCTTTTACAAAATCCACAGGCAAAAATTGCAGCAGTGCTGCCACCCCTAGTAGTATTTAGAAGACTGATGTGATATGTGAGATATATATATATATATATATTCTATATTCATTCAACAAAGTACCAAATTTAAGTACACCAGCTATCAGGAAGCATACATGTGTAAATACGCTTGCTTGTAGCAGAGCAAGGGAGTTGTGAATAGCCTGTTGTATCATATATGCATCCTTTGGTTACTTGTATCATCTTCTTCCTCACCAGGCCATTTTTTGCGATAGGACGCTGCATTACTTTAACTGACAATTGTGGTCATACAATGCTGCACATACATTTATGTCATTTTTTTTTTCCCCACAAATAGAGCTTTCTTTCAGTGGTATTTGATCATCTCTGTGGTTTTTATTTTTTGCGCTATAAACAAAAAAATCCCATCAATTTAAAAAAAAAAAAAAATCTTTTTGACTTTTTGCTAGAACACATATCCAATAAAAAAAAAAATGTAAAAAAAAAATTTCTTCATAAATTTAGGCCAAAATGTATTCTGCTACATGTCTTTGGTAAAAAAAAAATCCCAATACCTGTATATTAATTGGTTTGTGTGAAAGTTATAGCATCTACAAACTATGGTATATATACAGTATATTGGAATTTATGCAGCTTTTACTTTCTGACTGCCTATCACATTTCTTGGTGCTAAAATGCCAGGACAGTACAAAAAAAACCCAAATGACCCCTTTTTGGAAAGTAGACTCCCCAAGGAATTTGCTGAGAGGCATGTTAAGTCCATGGAAGATGTTATTTTTTTAACAAATGTTTTTGATTTTTTTTTTTTTTTTTTTTTACACAAATTTGTCACTAATGATATATTGCTCACGTATGCCATGGCTATATGTGGAATAACACCCCAAAACACATTCTGCTACTTCTCCTCAGTATGAGGATACCACATGTGACAGACTTTTTGGCAGTCTATCCATATACAGGCCCCCAAACTCCAATGACCACTTTCAGGCTTTCAAAAGGCATATTTCCTCATGTCACTTCCTCACTACCTATCCCAGGTTTGGAGACTTAAAAATGCTAGCATAGTACAAAACACCCCCAGAAATGACCCCTTTTTTTAAAGTAGGCACCCCAAGGAATTTGATAAGAGGCATGGTGAGTATTTTGTAGCTATTTGTGTCACAGGGTTTTGAAAAAGATAAGAAAAACTAGATTTTTGTTTTTTTTCCTTTGTTTTCCAAAAACTTGTGGCAACAAATGAGATCTGCAAAATACTCACCATGCCCCTTAGCAAATAACATGGAGTGTCTACTTTCCAAAAAGGGATCATTTGGGGGGGGGGGGGGAGGGATTCTACTATCCTGGCATTTCAGAGCCAACATTAATAGCTTCTGCCACACATCACCCACTCTTTTAACCACTTGAAGAATAAGCCTTTTCTGACAGTTTTTGTTTACATGAAAAAACGTACTTTGAACCCCCAATTATTATATTTTTTTTTTAAACAATGGCCCTAGAGAAAATGGTGGGTGTTGCAACTTTTTATATCAGGACAATTTTTCAAACGCTAATTTTTGAGAAAACAATGCACTTTTTTGAATCTTAATCCCCAAAAACCACAATATATTGCCAGATTGTTTGATAAAGTATAAAAGATAATGTTACACCAAGTAAATAGATACCAAACATAAAACATGTTTTAAATTTGCACATCCCCCTGCAACGGCGACAAACTATGTAAATATTTAATAACGATAAGCGACGCTTTAAAAGCCTTTACAGGTCACCACTTTATATTTACACAGGAGGTCTAGTGCTAGAATTACTGCCCCTCAATCTGACGTTCACAGTGATACCTCACATACATGTTGCAATCTCAGTTTACATACTGACAAAGAAATGACGCTTGCATTTGCATTTACATGAGCACGGGGGGGGGGGGGGGGGGCAGGGTGATTTTTTTTTTTTCTTTACACTGTCTGTTTCTTTTTTCTTTTTTTTTTTTAATCACTTTATTGTTATTACGGGATGTAAAAATCCCCTGTGATAGCAATAAGCAAATACAGGTACTTTTTTCTAAAACATCTATGGTCTATTAGACTTTAGATCTCTACTCTGCCTTTAAAACATCTGATCACACAAAGATCGGTGTGATCAGATGCTTTCCCAATAAAACAATGGCGCTGTTAATATCCGGTGATACGGAAAGATGAAATACTGCAGTTTCTTAGACCATAGAGATGATTGGAGCCATTTTGGTCTCTGATCAGCTCTATGGTTAGCCATTGGAACTGCAGGCTGCATTCTCGGATTGCTTTGTGGGACAGGAGAGCCTAAGAAAACTGTGGAAGGAGGCAGGGGGGGCATGTTCCTTCCCACTGCTTGTAAAAATGACCCAGCAGCTAATTCACTGGTAAGATTGCTTTTATATAAAAGCCGACTGCCAGCTGAAAAAAACAATGCCAGGATGATGCCTGTAGCTGCAGGCATCATCCTGGTATAGCCACTAAAAGTCCAGCGATGTACCAGTATGTTGCTTGTCCTTGTTGGGCATATATGTGACAGCAGAGAACACGGGCATATGATGAATCGGGTCTGTGGACCAATATGACCACAATTCATTCTTATTTGTAATGTCCATGTTGAGGGTTAGGCCCAAAGAAGTTTTAAATTCAGAAAACGTAATAGGATTCCATGCAAATTGTCTGACAAGAGCTGAATTTGGGTGGGTGGCGATGTATTGTTGTGCTTATAAATTGCTTTGGCCCACAATCAATTGATACACATCGTCCATAAAAAACAGCGGAGGGGCTAAATGCTGGTGCTGGCAGCAAATAGGTCTGATGCTGCTAACACTGAATTTTTGGGAACACTATACTAAGGAGACACTAGTGTAGTTCTGTTCATGATCAATATATTGATCTGCACAAAAACTATACTAGTAATGGCGGTGATCCACAATCTATAGCATGAGTGCAATAGTGTGTAGGCAATCTAAATGCTAGCTGACCTGGCTGGGAGGGGAGATTACAAACCCTGACATTATCTAATGTTGCTAGTGGCAGTAATACAGCGATCAGTGAAAAATTCTATATACTGACAATGTACTAATGGCACTGACCGGGTAACAGAGTGATCAAAGGGTTAAATGTGCTAATCTAACGTGTGCGTGTATAATGTTGTGCTTTTACTCACAGTGAGGTGTTCTTCCTGCTCTCCCTGGACTGACGGGGGGGAAGCGAGCATGTTCACACCCTGAAATAGAAAGCAACGTAAGGTTACATTGCTTTACCTAGAGCTGCTGCTCGCCCACACGATGCAGGCAGGCAGCTGGCAAATAGCTAGAAAAAAAAAACTTTAATTTAAAAAAACAAACAAACATTTTCAATACAGTATTTTCAATTTTTTTAACTTTTTTAAAAATATTTATATCAGAGTAGTACAATGTTACTATAGTAACATTGTACTACTCTAGGGGGGTGATCAGGGATTTTTGGGGGTTTTTTTTACACTTTGCTTTGCAAGAACAAAAAGATTACTGCTCTGCAATGCAAAGCTTGCGTTGAACTGTCATGAATGAGAAGTCAAAATAATAGTGATCTGTGATTGGCTGGAGCTGGTCACATGGTACAGGGTGCTGTGATTGGCCTTACATCACTTCATCCCCATCCAACCTTCTAGGACCTTAGCAATATTATCATCAATTGATCGATCCCATCAGATTCCAGATGATTTATCCCAAAAATATAATCTCCGGATCAGGGGCGGACTGACCATTTGGAAACTTGGGCATTGCCCGAGGGCCCGGGGTCAGTAGGGGGCCCAATGAGATACCCCTGGTACCTCTTTCATAGGCTTTTTTGAGTTTGGGCAAGGACACAGGGGCCCCATGATCCCCTATTGCCTGGGCAATAGAGTTGTCAGTCCGCCCCTGCTCTGGATCATGTCAGATGAAAAGAACAAACCTCGTACAAAGTGAAACATTTTCCATAGTGAAGTAAGTTTTAAATGATACATTTTTATTAATAGTATTGCACTCACATGAATCCCAGTAAAAAAACGCTTGTAAACATCAAGATGGCCACGGCTTTCAATGTGCTGACTTCATTCATCCCTCCCTACGCTTTTCATCACAGATTGACATCATCAGGGGCATGGAGAACAGACGACAGCACACTATATATATTGTGCAATACGGAGACCAGCTTGCATTCCAACGAGAGGATAGCGAATAGAGACCGGAAGCACTATGCCTCACATTGCGCTCCAAGCCTCATATGGGAGCAATAAACATAGAGTATACCATAGAAGACAAAGCTGCAATTCCAAAGAGCGGAAGTAAAAGGAGGCTGGATATGTATGCCACCAAATTCATTCCAATCTTAACCAGGAACAACCAGCATATCGTCATAAAGATCAGCAGCAGACAGAAAAGGTTCTCAACACACCACCAGCCCATATGAGAGCATCCAGACACACAAAACAGTACCCCCTAATTGAAAAATCACCAAACTACATCATATACAATATATAATTATATAAAAGGACATATCAATACAATATAATACTGTACATTATATAAATAAAAGAGTAAAAAAATAATAAAAAAAAATATAATAGAAAATATACATATATATTCTATATTTATTCCATGGAGAGTAAAAGACTTAAGCTCATATATCCAGCGGGTCTCTGATTTTGAAATTTCACGCCTAATATAACTCCTAGTCCAATCAGGAGTATATTTATCAATTGTGAGGAAGCTAGTACCCTTAGGGTTGTTATCATGAAACTTTCCATAGAGTTTCGAGACACTATGTCCAGGAAAAACATATGTTAACAATATGTTCCTTAAGCCGCACCTGCATGGTTCTAATAGTGTGGGCCACATATTGTAACTCACATGAACACTGGATCTAATATACTATATTAGTGTAGGAACTTAATCTGGTAGGCCTTAGATGTAACGGAACTGACAAATCCGTCTATCCCTGATATTATATTGGCAAACCGCACATTTGCATTTAATGCTCCCATACGAGGTTTGGAGCATAGTGCTTCCGGTCTCCATTTTCTTCCTCTCGTTGCAACGTGAGCTGGTTTCTAGCTTATACTATATATATAGTGTGCTGCCCTCTGTTCATCACTCTCCTGATGACATGAATCTGTGATGAAACACGTAAGGCTGGACCTATGACGTCAGCACACTGAAGGCCGCGGCCATCTTGATGTTTGTTCACAAGTGTTTTTCACTGGGATTCATGTGAGTGAAATTTATCATTTTAAAAGTACTTCACTACAGAAGTTTTTTATTTTGTATACGGTATATTCCTTTCATCTGACATGATCCGGAGAAGATATTTTTGGGCTAAATAATTTGGAATCTGATGGGATTGATCCATTGATGATGTTATTGCTAAGGTCCTAGAAGGTTGGATGGGGATGAAGTGAGGTAAAGCCAGGATGCCTATTAGCACACCAAGCGCTTAAGGCCACTCTATAACTGAAGGGTCATACAATTTGGTAAGCTGCTTGACTTTACCACTGTGGTGTTGTGTCTGAATATTTCTGCACTCAAGTTGGTGTTGTGACTTTACTCCTAGATGAAATTATGTGTTATATGGACTATTTTATTGTTTATTAAGCACCACATGTGTATAATGTGTCTATTTTATTTGTGATCAATTGAATGTATGCTGGCAGCTTTTTTATTTGGGTATCCAAGCGCAGTTAACCACCTCCCGCCCACCATATAGTAATATGACGGACGCAAAGTGGTTCTCTAGTTCTGATAGGACGTCCTATGATGTCCTCCCAGACATTCTCACCACGCATGCGCGGCTCAGGGAGCACGCAGTGCGGCGATCGGCGGTGCGCTGTGTCCCTTGGACACAGCGGATCACCGATCACGGAAAGAGCCGAAGATGTCGGCTCGGTCATGTGATCATCTGTGTCCAATCACGGCTGATCACATGCCGGTTATCGGCATTTCTCTCCTCTCGAGCTGTCACGCTGACAGCTTGAGAGGAGAGCTGGTAATCAGCTTTCCGCGGAGGGGACATGTACACTGATCATCAGGGCACTGATGATCAGTGTGCCCTGATGATCAGTGTAGCCCCAGCAGCGCCACCTGTCAGTGTCCATCTGTGCCTTGTGTCAGTGCCCATCAGTGCCACATCAATGCCACATATCAGTGCACATCAATGCCACATATTAGTGCCCATCTGAGCTGCCTTTCAGTGTCACCCATCAGTGCCAATCAGTGCCACCTATCAATGCCAATCAGTGCCACCTATCAGTGCTGCCAGTCAGGGCCGCCTATCAGCGCCAGTCAGTGCCGCCTATCAGTGCCAGTCAGTGCTGCCTATCAATGTGCATCAGTGCTGCCTATCAGTGCCTGTCAGTGCCACCTATCAGTGCCAGTCAGTGCCACCTATCAGTGCCAGCCAGTGCCGCATATCAGTGCCAGCCAGTGCCGCATATCAGTGCCAGCCAGTGCTGCCTATCAGTGTCGCCTATCAGTGCGATATATCAGTGCTGCCTTTCAGTGCCCATCAGTGATGCCTGTCAATGCCCATCAGTGCCACCTACCAGTGCCTCCTCATCAGTGCCCATCAGTGCCACCTATCAGTGCAGCCTATCAGTGCCCACCACTGCAGCCTCATTAGCGCATATCAGTGAAGGAGAAAAATCACTTTTTTTTCTAAATTTTCAGTGGTTTTTGGTTTGTTTAAGAAAAAAAAAAAAAACCAGAGGTGATTAAAACCACCTTAATAAAGCTCTATCACAAAAAAAGAATGATAAAAATTTCATATGGGTACAATGTTGTATGACCGCGCAATTGTCATTCAAAGTGTGACAGCGCTGAAAGCTGGAAATTGGCCTGGGCAGGAAGGGGGTATAAGTGCCCTGTAGGCGAGGGGTTAATGTTTTTTAGATAAAAATGACACAATTGTAAAGTCCAGAATAAGACAGTCAACCAACCTATTCTGGACTTTACAATTGTGTCATTTTAAGCGCTGCACTACTCTGTTTTATCTATTTATACTTCATGGTGCTATTGGTTACCCATTTATGTGCATAGCGGCTTCTGTTTATTTTTCAGGCGCTCACTTCCTTTTTCTTTGGTTAATGTTTTTTATTTTGAAATGTATACTAATGTGCGCAGTAAATGATCCATCTGTACAGAGGTGAACCTATAAGACAATTAGGGGTTGATTTACCTAAACCAAATAGATTGTTTACTTTACAAGGAAAGTTGGACTTTGCAAGGGAATTATCCTTTTTACTTTCCTTGGACAAGGTGTGGTATTCTTTGCAAAGTTAAATTTCACCTCAATCACTAAATTCTCTTGTACAATTGCAATTTCCCTTGCAAAGCGAACAGCCTATTTGCCTTAGGTAAATCAATCCCTAATTTGTTGTTTTCTAAAACATAAGCTTACAAATAAATATAATGTGTACTATAAATGAAAATGGTTAAATGTAACATGAAAGCCTGGACCTTTTTATCTAAGGAGAAAGATAGATACTACAAGTATGAGTGTATCTATAAATGTAATGCAAAAAAAATATATACAAACAATAAATACCTTTTAAGCACATGCCGCCCAGCCACTGTATAAATACGGCGGCAGGGCGGCACGGCTGGGCAAAACCACGTTTTAAAACATGTGTTTTGTAAACAGGTAGGGGGCGTACCTGTCCCGCCTATCACAGCCTCGGATGTCAGTCGCTGGGTCACAGCCAGTCGTTATCGGCTATGTCCCGGCGATCGGCAGCAATCGCTGACAGAGAGCACAGCTGCAGTAGCTGTGCTTTCTGTCAGTTCCCTGACAGCTCCAGGACAAGCTAATCGGGACAGAAGAGACTCTCTCTCCCAATCAGTGATGTCCCGTGCAGTACACACCCCCTCCCCCTAGTAAAACACTCCCCTCACACAGTTAACCCTTTCCCTGAAAAATAAAGTTAACCCCTTCATCCCCAGTGCCATTAGTACAGTGTCAGTGGTTTTTTTTTTTTGCACTGATCACTGTATTGGTGTCATTGGGGATGTCAGTGACCCCAAGTCAGTACCTCCCAATGTCAGAATGTCCGCCGCAGTCCCGCCATATGTCGCTGATCACCGCCATTATTAGTATAAAAAAAACCCCAAAAATCCTAGTATCTTTCCCGCCATTTGTAAACGCTATAACTTTCACGTAAACCAATTAATTTGCACGTATTGGTTTTTTTTTTAGCAAAGACATGTCGCAGAATACATTTTGGCAGAAATGTATGACTAAATTTGATTTTTAAATTCTATTTTACTGGACATGTTTTAAAGCAAAAAGTCCAAAATATTTTTTTTTTCCTCAAAATTATCAGCCTTTTTTTTATAGTGCAAAAAATAAAAACCGCACAGGCGATCAAATACCACCGAAAGCAAGCTCAATTTGTGGAAAAAAAAAGGATGTAAATTTCATTTATGTACCGTATTGCATGACCGCGCAATTGTCCGTTAAACTAGCGCAGCGCTGTATAGCAAAAAAAATGGCGTAAATTGCAGTATCTATACCAGCAATGGGCAAACTACGGCCCGCGGGCTGTATATGGCCCGGCGGACCTTTTAATCCGGCCCGCGGAGCTAGGCTCCTCTCACAGTCCGCCGTGAAGACCGGTGTAGCATGAAAATCTGTCCCCCTCGACGTATCTGCGCATGTGCCGGAGATCGCCGATCGGCTGCTAATGCCTGAAACTGGCACATGCGCAGATACGTCGAGGGGGACAGATCCTCACAGGAGACAGATTTTCATGCTAAACCGGAACGGCACGGGAATACGGCGAGTGGAACGCGCGGAGCAAAGGTAAGTGAATTGACACAGGGGGGACTTGGGGACTTAATATGGGGGATGAATTAATATAGGGGGGATGAATTACTATATGGGGATGAATTACTATATGGGGGATGAATTACTATATGGGGGATGAATTACTATGGGGGATGAATTACTATGGGGGATGAATTACTATATGGGGGATTAATTACTATGGGGGATGAATTACTATATGGGGGATTAATTACTATGCTTACTATGGGGGAATATTACTATACTTACTATGGATGACACATACACATCATTCATCTACTCTTGGTCCGGCCCCCAGGTCCAATATATGAACCCATTGCGGCCCTCAAGTCAAAAAGTTTGCCCACCCCTGATCTATACCCTAGTTTGTAGACGCTATAACTTCCACACAAAGCAATCAATATACACTTATTGGGATTTTGTTTACCAAAAACATGGAGCAGAATACATTTTGGCCTAAATTTATAACCAACTTTGAGTTTACTATATATTTTTTGAAAGTAAAAAATATTGTTTTTCTTCAAAATTTTTGGCATTTTTTGTTTATAGCTTGAAAAATAAAAAGCGCACAGGTGATCAAATACCACCAAAAGAAAGCTCTATTTGTGTGAAAAAAAAGGACGTAAATTTAGTTTGGGTGCAGCATTGCATGACCGCGCAATTATCAGTTGAATTAGTGCAGCGCTGAGTAGCAAAAAGAGGCCTGGTCATTAAGGGGGGTAAATCCTCTGGAGGTCAAGTGGTTAAACAACATTTATTTTAAAATGTGATGGCATAATATTTATGTCATAATAAGTATATAGACATGATTGTTATGTAAAATTAGTTCTATATTTTTTTTATTTTAACATTGCAATGGTAAATATGTGCAATATGTTTGTTAACATACCTAAATAAAACTCCAGTCAAATATATTTTTTTAAATTTGCTGTGTAATAAATAAAATAACTATTATTATGTGTGCTTCACCTCCAGAATTACTGCCCTTGCTTAATATTTTAGTTTTATGCATACATGGAAATATATTGTACATCTCGCTTTATTTTTGGACCTCTGTAACTACTTTAGCTGTGGCTATCTACTCTGAAGCATTAATGTAATGTATCCGGCTCCTTACTCCTTTTCTATTCCTAGAACTCCTTATAATTTTATAATCTGTTCATATGGTTAACCTCCTTAGCGGTATTCCCCCGAGTGTAGCTCGGGGTAAAATTTCTATACCAAAAGCGGTAACCCCGAGCTACACTCAGGCTTACCATGCGGCGTTCTCCGGGGGTCCCTGCAGCACTTACCTTGTCCTTCGCTCCCACGATGTGTCACCTGCAGCGTCCCCGACCATCTCCTCCGGCCGATGCCGGCATCCGGCTTCTGTGTTCCGGTCCCTGTGATGTCGGGACGTACGGGCGCCGGAACCAGCGGGAGATTTGAATTTTTTTAAAAATGTCATTTTTGCTGTCATTGCTATTTCAATGCATTTCACATACATTGTGTCCCGAGTGCTTTGTCCGGCGCCCTGCCTGCATTTTGAATGTTCTTTCTGCCTGGAAACTTAGAAAAGTCCATGGCGTCCACAAAGCGTCCCTTTACGTCAAAAGCGGTTTTAGAACAGCGATAGTAAATCAGAACCACTTGCAGAATTGAGTGATAATGATTCGTGGGGGAAATTCGTCATCAGACACTGAAAACGATTTTGCGACTTTGCTCAGCGATGTGCGAATTTGCCTCAGTATTTCAAATTTCAGTGTTTTTGGTTTGATTATATTATTGAATTAAATGTATTATTATTATATTATTATTTTTTTATGATTATTTATTAAATTATAATTTATGATTTAGTGTTTCAAATTTTATCATATCCGGAATGTTTAATAGACTCTTGTTTGGACAGATTTCAGTGAGTTATTCCTAAAAATTACAGCCTACAATAAAAAAACTACCGTATTTGCCGGCGTATAAGACGACTGGGCGTATAAGACGACCCCCCTACTTTTCCTGCTAAAATGTAGTGTTTGGGCTATACTCGCCGTATAAGACTACCCCTCTTCCAATGCACACCAGTGGGAGGAATAGTGCCCCATCATTGATGTCAGTGGGAGGAATAGTGCCCCATCATTGGTGTCAGTGGGCAGGAATAGTGCCCTATCATTAGTATCAGTGGGAGGAATAGTGCCCCATCATTGGTATCAGTGGAGGAATAGTGCCCCATCATTGGTATCAGTGGAGGAATAGTGCCCCATCATTGGTATCAGTGGGAGGAATAGTGCCCCATCATTGGTATCAGTGGCAGGAATAGTGCCCCATCATTGGTATCAGTGGAGGAATAGTGCCCCATCATTGGTATCAGTGGGGGAATAGGTGCCCCATCATTGGTATCAGTGGCAGGAATAGTGCCCCATCGTTGGTATCAGTGGCAGGAATAGTGCCCCATCATTGGTATCAGTGGCAGGAATAGTGCCCCATCATTGGT